TGGGCATATGTGGGTGATTCACTAGACTTAACCCTAGCTCAGAAATTCCCCATCTCCGCCGCCGCGGCGGACGATGAGGCGACGACGGCGCGGCCGCTTGGAACTGCGGGAGGCATCCGCATCCAGCTCCCCGCATCCTATAAAGTCTTTATTCTCGGTGAAGTACGGCATCAAGTGCAACAGCCTGCCACGTTATCCCATCTTCTCTCTCAGATCACTGTAGAAACAACAGTTTACAACCACAGCCGTTGGATTACTCTTGGAGCATCACGTTCGTCGGTATGTAGTATCCCACCATCCTGTCCAAGCCAACTCTCAACACAAAGCCTCAGGCGGCCAGCCCAAATTGCAGTGTCATATTAGCTACACAAATCTTTCTCTTTTTTATTACCATTTTTGAAAGCGTTGTATATCTTTCTTAAACTATATATCTATATATTTTTTCTTATGAGTTATGTATTTTTTTTATAATAGAGCGAACAAATTAAGACCCACATTGGCACAATTTTTTTTTTCATCTGGGATCATATCATCATAATATTTTTAATGGTTTTATTTTACCATGGTCATAGTTGTAATATGATTCTTTTTTTTACTTTTACCAAAATTTGATCCTGCTTATTCCTAAGCATTTTTATTTGAACTACGATTTTCTCAACGTTGCAAAAACCAATTAGCATTATTTTTTTATTGAAAGAATAACATTATGCTACCTCATTTTCAAAATGCATGACACTGTTAACTTTTTACATAATATTTGACCATTCGTTCTATTCAAAAGTTTACTATAAATATGTAAAATTATAAGTTAAGAATGTATTATATTTTATTTGATGATAAAACATGTCACAACAAAATAAATAACATATATAAAAATAATAATAAGACTAATGGTCAAACGTTATGCGAAAAGTCAATGACGTCATACATTCTGAAATAGAGGAAGTATTTGAGTAGTCTATCATAAAACTATCGTCTATAATTCTTGATATTTTGAACATGGTTAAAGTCAATTCTTTATAACTCCAACTATCAATAACTTTAAAAGTATTTAGTTTAGAGGCATTAGAATAACATATATATATTTATCTTACAAAGTACTTAATAAAAATAAAAATACATTTATTAATTATATATATTATAAAAAAGATATATTATGACGATTATGTCATTGTCCAAAACGTACCGGAGGGAGTATATAAAAAACAAAATGTTTCTTAGGACACATGTTATTTCCTATTTTTATGATGATTTTTATTGAAATACGTTAATAAATGCTAAACTAATATCTCTTGATGTAGCCGATGCAGTTTCCGCAGCAAAGCGCGGAGTGCCATCTAGTGAGATCAACAAGTGGCGACTGGGCGCCAATGCTGGTATGCGGCGGCGCGGCTACGCGGCAGGGACACGCGCGTGACAGGCGGCGAGCCAGCAGGCAGCAGGAGCGATGTGGCAGGCGGAAGGCAAGCAGCAGCAGCAAGGTAAGCTGAAGCAAGTGGCCTTCCTCCCGATTCAATCATCCCTAATCAATCCTTGCTCTCCTTTTTTTTTCAGATTTTATGCATATTATTGCCTGATTCCAAAGATTATTGCCATGCTAAATATTGATACAATGTTGTGCCGTACAGTATAGTGCGATTAGGTATGTGTCCATGAGCCATACCTCATTTTTTTTCCGTCCTCCGCCACTGGTTATGAACTGGTAGTAAAAGCCACTTCTCCACCAGTGTTCAGAGTGGATACAAAGATTTAAACAATGGCATTTTTCTGTTATTTGTTCTGAGCCTGTTGACTTAATACACTAGAAACTTTTTTTTCCTTTTAGGATCTATATATAAGGAAATTTGTTGCAACAAAAGAAGCAAATAGATCACATCCGAGCGTCTGTCTTATGTAGCTGTTGAAGCGTCGATTTGGTGTCGGAGGGCTTGTTTGGTTTACTACCACGCTAAAATATTGGCAATGTCAAATCGTAGGCAAATTTTGGTAGTGCCAAATGTTTTGACAACTTATATGTTTTATTAGCACATTTTAGTAGCAAACCAAACACTAGCTAAACTACTATATTCAAAATACCAACAATTTGATAGAGCACATTTTGGCATCAAACCAAAATGGCCCAGAAATCTCAATCAATTTGGTCTCACGATTTCTTAATTTCTCCTTTGGCTTCCTCCACCGTTGTGGCTGAGGAATTGTCAAGTTTGACTATTTATCAGCCGGAGCGTATACATATTTTTTTCTTAATTTCTCATTTGGCTCCACTGTTGTGGTCAAGGAATCGTCATGGTTTGACTATTTATCTGTCAAAGCATATGCACAATTAAAATTGTTTTAACCTGACCGATGCAAGCGCACGGATATTAAGGGATAGCACTTGGTCTAAAGCTCGCCATTTATTCGGAAGACACGGGAATAAGGGGATCATTTCAAAAAATTTTGTTTTCCTAGTATAGATAAAAATAGAGATTAAAATCATCCCTCTAAAAATTTAGAAAAATCTTCTATTTCTTTTGGGCCGAAATCCCTCCAATCCTCCTATATATATCCCCTCCACCAACTTTCTCCCTGCTGAGCTGACTGCACTTTCTGGGCCCTTCCGGCTCACACGGCGCAGCCATGCCATGGCCCGGCCCAACCAAGCTGAGATCCAGCAACTACCTCCGTTCTACACGCGCGTGGCATGTGTGCACGCCACCTCCGCTGCCGCCTCGCTGGAGCGATGATCTCCTCCCCTAGAGCGTATCTCCCAACTCCGGTGAGTCCATTTTTTTTCCCCGTTTCCCCCTTATCTCCCACTTACATCAAGACACCCTGGAGTTTTCTCTCTCCTACCGGACTGAGTTCTTGCCGCCAGAGTTCCCAATTCTTCCCTCGCTCCCCACTCCGGCTGCCGCCTTCGTCCATCATGCCGAGTTCGGGAGCGCATCGAGGTGCCTCTGTCATCGACATTATGTTATCGGACGCCGAAGCCGTTCGCCCGCTCTTCCTACTCAGACTGAATCGAGGAAGAAGAAGAGGAACGGATGTAGCCGGGCGTTCGGATGGCAGCTGCTTCGTCCAATCGCGTGCGAATCGGAACACATACCAAAATCGCGTCTGATGATTGGAAAGATACAAATTTTTTAAGCAATTAAGATAAAGATATATCCCGCCTACCTCCTCGAGGCACCCACTTCCTACCATTATGGTCCTCTCATCTCTTGCTCTTTGCGAAAAAATATGGGCCTTTTTAGCGCAGCTGCAGGTCCACCTCTCTTGGAGCTGGAGCTCAGCCAAAAAGTTTTAGCTCTACCTAAAATGAGAGCGAACCCAGCTATCTCACAAAATGAACTAGAGAGGTGGAGTTGGGTTTAGAGCATCCCCAACATCTCATCCAAATTTGATCTTCTATATACCCATATGGATGGCCATCTAAAAAAGATTCCTCCTTCATATCTCTTCTCACTCCAACAGATCATTCATACTACATCATCTATATCATACCCTCCTATATTCTCCAACTAACCTTATATTTGTATTTTTAAGGACTATATTATGGATGACTATGATGTTATTCATCGTGATAATCTTTCAAAATAAGTAAATTTTAATGGATATAATTTTAGTTGGTAATTTTTAATTGATATATTTGTATTGAGTGAGTATTTTTTTTCTCATTTTGATGTGTTCAACTGCCAGTTTTCCTTATTTTCTCACCTCTTTTCTCTCTACGCTTATCTACTCTTCTTTACTCTCCCTACTCTTCTACTCTTTTGTTTGCGCTCCAGATGGGGCGGCCAACAGACGCGGATGCGCGGCGGTGGCCGGTGGGCGAGCAAGGGGCGGCAGCGGTGAGCGTTCGGGGCGGGCGAGGGACGGCGGCGGGCGGGGGGTGCGGATGGGCAGGGAGGAGGCAGGCGGGGGGCGCGGATGGGCGGTGGCTGCAACGGGCGGGCGAGGGGCGGTGGAGGCAGGCGGCGGTGGCCCGCAGGGCGACGGCGACGGCGACGGGGGGGGGGGGGGGGGCGTGGATGGGTGGGGAGGAGGCAGGGGAGGTGCCGCGGATGGGCGGAGGCGGCGGCAGTTGGGCGAGGGGCGGAGGACGCAGGTGGCGGACGCGCGCAGGGGGACGGCGGCGGGCGTAGGCGGCTGCCGCTAGCGGCGTTCTCCTTCCAGATCCGGTATGGCTCTTCCTCTCCATCCTGGGCTATACCCTCTCTCTCCACCCTCCAGCGACGACGATGATGGGGGGAGGTCGCGGAACTCTGGATTAGGACGGGAGCTCGATCCGATGTGGTATGGCGTGAGGAGAGAGACACGCTATATTTGCCCTTTCTCTCTTTGCCGTTTTGGCGTATGCGCTATTTTTGGAGGAGCGATGGCGTATCTGTTGGAAGCTAGTTTCACGCTCGTATGCACCAAATTTCGGATGGAGTCCCGGCTAGCGTATCTGCTAGGGATGCTCTTAGGCAGCTCCACAAGTCTACTCCAGTCCCAACTCCTGGAGCTAAATTTAGAAGTTAGAGCTCTACCAAACAGGCCATACGTATCCAAGATTTCTATACATTTCCCATTCAACAATGATAGTTACAGTACATGAAAGCCTGACTTCGTGACCAGCATTTTCTAATTCTCCTGACGTGCATAAATTATTTCCCTAAGGTTGATTGGCTTGTCTTCTTCATTCGAACCTTAGGGTTCCAAATCCTTACACGATAAATTAGCGTATGATTAATTAGGTAGTGACTAACAAATTGAAAAAAATGATTAATATAATTTTTAAAACAACTTTTCTATATAAATATGTTGTAAAAAAGTACTCCCTCCGTTTCTAAATATTGACACCGTTGATTTTTTTTAAATATGTTTGACCGTTCATCTTATTTAAAAAATTTAAGTAATTATTAATTATTCATTGTTAAATATACTTATATGTATACATATAGTTTTACATATTTCACAAAAGTTTTTAATAAGACGAATGGTCAAACATGTGCTAAAAAATTAATGGTGTCGAATATTTAGAAACGGAGTACACTTTAATAGTTCGATTCAAAAAGAGATAACAGAAGTTGGCAAAATGAAGTAGATATCACACTCAAGTAATTTTGCCATTGACACTCACTTTTCACAACTTTTTTGTTAATTGTATCGCATATACACCTTGCTAGTAAACACTATATCAGATCCATACTATACCAAGCTGACACTTAAAACAGAAAGTCAAACGAAGTGGAAAAAAAAGAAACAAGCAGGGATGGAAGCACACGTTTCCATTCCGGCGCATGTTTTGTTGACTTGTCGTATGCCTCAACTTGCGCGGGCTCGGCTACACGGGCGGCTCCTCCTCCGTCGCCGGCGTCGTCTCTCCGGCGACCTTGACGACGTCGGCGCGGCACATGGGGCACGTCGCGTGGTCGCGCAGCCACCCGTCCACGCACGGCGCGTGGAACGCGTGGCCGCACGCCGGCAGCCGCCGCACCGTGTCCCCGTCCTTCACGGCGGCGATGCACACCGCGCACTGCGCCACCCCGCTGCCCGATGATCCCCTCCTGTACTCGAACGCCGGGATGGCCTCGATGTCCTCCTGGCTGAGCCCGCGGGCCTCCACCGGCGCCGCCGGCTGATGATGATCGGGGAGCACCGGCGGCGCCGGCGCCGCGCCGAAGTAGTACCAGGTGAACCAGCCCGCGGCGGCGAGGAGCACCGCCGTGGCGACGGACGCCCAGACGTGGCCGACGAACAGGTAGAGCACGACGACGACGCCGACGAACCCGCTCCACAGCAGCAGCAGCCTCGAGCAGCGGTCGGTCCGCGCCGTGGCCGGGCTCCGCCGCACCAGGTTGATCTCCCACGCGCCGTTGCTCCGCCGGCGAGGTGCGTCCATGGCCGCTCGCCGCGTGTAGACAAGTGTAAGCTGACTAGCTGATTAATTACTACTATGTGGCTAACCGTGGTTGGGCAGAAGTAATGTTTGTACACATATATATATATAGTACTACTTTCACTAATGTTTGGATGATTATTGATTATTAAAATTGATGTGAATTTACTAGAAAAGGAATGGGAGAAGGCATATTCGTGCAAATGATTTGGTGATCGACTAAGACTTGGTGCTTCGTGAGGAAGTAATTAATCTAGGTGGCAGTGTGAAGCATGCATGTGGATGTAGGAGCGGGCAGCCAGTTGACCAAGGTTGTTTGAAGCATATTGTTGCATTGAATTTTGAATTCATTCTTTGTACCATTGAATACTTATCACAAAAAATTCAGCTATTCAATCATCTATTAACTTATTAAAAGAATAGAAAAAAGAGCCTCCACGCTCGCTCTCACGGTCTAGAAATTCTCATATTAATCGGAGAAGAAGAAAAACAGAGTCCATATATATAGAAATACAAATTGGAAATAGTTGAAATTCGGAATTAAAAAATAAGGAATATTGGAAGAGGAGACTACAGTCCATATAGAAATACAACTAAGAAATAATAGAAATTCAGAGTTAAAAATAACGAATATTAGAAGTAGAGTATAGAGTCCAAATAGAAATACAATTAATAAATAATAGAAACTCGGAAAAAAAATAAGGAACATTAGAAGTAGAGTACAGTGTCTATATAGGAATTTAAAACTATTTAAAATTTGGAATAAACATAAAAAAATTAAAAGTAGAGCTTAGAGTTCATATAAAAATAATACAATTTACAAATAATTAAAATTCGAAATTAAAAAAAACATAGAAAGAAGAATCTAAAGTTAATATAGAAATAGAATTTAGAACTAACTGAAATTCGAAATTAAAAATTAAAGAATATTGAAAGATGAGTTTAGAGTCCACATAGAAATATAATTAGAAATAATAAAAATTCAAAATTAAAAATAAATAAAATTAGAAGAAGAGCCTAGAGTTTATATAGATATACAATGTACACATAACGAAAATTCGGAATAAAAAATACTAAAAATTTGGAATTAAAAAAAAAGTATTGAAAGACGAGTCTAGGTCCATATAGGAATATAATTTAGAAATAACTAAAATTTGATATTAAAATAATTAATAACTAACACGTATATAAAATACAATATAAATATTACACATTAGTAGTTTCGTAAAGTTAGTACAATAGAAGTAGAGTATAGAGTCCATATATAATACAATTAAGAAATAATAGAAATTCGGAATTAAAAATAAAGAATATTAGAAGTAGAGTACAGAGTTTATATAGGAATTTAAAACTAATTAAAATTCGGAATAAACATAATAAAATTAAAAGTAGAGCTTAGAGTTTATATTACAATTTACAAATAACTAAAATTCGAAATTAAAAAAAAACATAGAAAGAAGAGTCTAAAGTTAATATAGGAATAGAATTTAGAAGTAACTGAGATTCGAAATTAAAAATTAAAGAATATTGAAAGATGAGTTTAGAGTCCAGATAGAAATATAATTAGAAATAATAAAAATTTAGAATTAAAAATAGATAATATTGAAAGAAGAGCCTAGAGTCTATATAGAAATACAATGTACACATAACGAAAATTCGGAATAAAAAAAAGAAATATTGAAAGGCGAGTCTATAGTCCATATAGGAATATAATTTAGATATAACTAAAATTTGATATTAAAATAATTAATAACTAACATGCATATAAAATGCATATAAAATATAATATGAATATTACACATTAGTAGTTTCGTAAAGTTAGTACAAAATTTAAAATTACGTTATCATTTTAATATATTTTAATAATACAATGAGAAAACATTTATACTATTATATGAAAGAAAATATAATGATGCTAGCCGTGTAATCTGCGCGGATCACCATGCTAGTTCATCCTTTTAAAAAAAACATTTAGAGGAGCAGGCAGCCAGTTGACCAAGGTTGCTAAACGTATTGTTGCATCTAGCTTGTTAAGAAGTACTCCATAATTAAGGGATAATTATCTTCATTTGGGCAGGTGCTCTCCCGGTGGAGTGCACACCTTCACACGCATTTGACTGATGGTATGACTATGAATATTCTATATGTGTCTATCCAAACTAGCTGGCAAACAGACACAAGTTGAATTAAAATATCACAATAGACTTGCAAAATTTCGAGGAAGCAACTGAATTCCTGTGAATGCGATAGCTTTGACGATTAATTTGTATCCAAACATTGCCCGTCGTTGTTGGAGCACGGTTTTGGAGAGAGAGCATTGCAAAAAGGAGCGGCGGCAACGACCACCAGCGGGCGACGGTGGCGACCACCAGCTCATTAGCTTGCGGAAGAAAGAAGCGGAGGTCGTCGACGCCGCCTGTAGAGACCGCCGCCGCATGGAGGCCAGGAGCATGAAATAGAGCAGCCCGGGCAGCACCTCCTCGTCGTCGCTCGTCGCCGGCACCACGCCCCCATGCTCCACCGCCGCGCCCCCGTGCTTCAACGCCACCGCCAGAGGCCTTGGTTCCAGCGCCGCCTCCAGTGGAGGCAGGGGCGGAGGTAGAGTATGGGAGGGGACTGCCCAGGAACCCGGTCAACAAAATTTTTTAGTTATAACTTGCCGATTTTCACCATATGTGCACCTCCCTCAATACAAACATAGCCACACGTATAAACTTAAACTTGATCTAAAGTAGAGTAAATTAAGCAAGAGGCACCCTCCTCCATTTCGTTCTAGTTCCGTCCTTGAGTGGAGGCGGCGGCGGCGGAAGCGGAAGGACGGGCTACCGTGCGTAGCCTAGCTGATGCCAGAGCGGAGAATGACGACGGTGCGGCGGCTTAGGGGGAGGACAACGTCAACGCCGAGATCGCCTCCCACCGCCAGAGGCCGTGGTTCCAGCGGTGGCGGCGCTGGTAGAGGCGGCGGCGGCGGCGGAAGGATGACGGAGCGTACAAGAACGACAGTGCAGCGACTTGGAGGGAGGACGACGTTGACACGGAGCTCGCCTCCCGCCGCCAGAGGCCGTGGTTCCAGCAGCGGTGGCGGCGGAAGGATGGCGGAGTGGAGAAGGACGACGGTGTGGCGGCCTAGGGGGAGGACGATGTCGACGCCGAGCTCGCCTCCATTATGCAAGGGCTCCGACGGCAGCGGCGTCCACCAAGGAGGAAGCAGCTGGTCGTCGCCGGATCGGCTCTACTCACTAGGACAGATCCTCGGCCGAGGCATGTCTATGACGATTCCTGTCAAATAATCTCTACATATCAAAACCAATAATCTCATATGCCAATTGTTCATTACAGAATAAGAATCAAACATACTTTGATTTTACTGCGGGGGTGGTCCGGCGAAGGTTGTGTGGTATCTACCAATCATTGATTATTTCAAGAGAATATTTGCCAACCCCAAGAAAGCAAAGTTAGTACGTTGGTATGCCACAGAGAGAAGGAATGGCGGTTTGCTAAGACATCCTGCGGATTCGATTCAATGGATGAATATCGATCGGAAGCACAAAGACTTTGCTGCCGACCCAAGAAACATGAGGATATGTTTGTGTACGGATAGCATGAATCCTTTCGGAGACATGAGCAGTTCTCACATCACTTGGCTAGTTCTTATTGCGAACTATAACCTCCCGCCATGATTATGCTTCAAAAGGAAATATATTATGTTGTGCTTGTTAATCCAAGGTCAGAAACAACCCGACAATGATATCGATGTGTTCTTGGAGCCTGTTATCGATGATCTTGAGATTCTCTAGAAAGAAGGTGTGGAAACTTGGGATGTATATGGTCAGGAGAACTTCAAGCTACAAGTTCTTTTGTTCTGCACCATTAATGATTATCCTGCACTGGGTAATCTTTCTGGATAAACCATGAAAGGAAAAAATGCTTGCTCTGACTCTATGGAACATACACGCAGTAGGTGGCTGAAGGAATCAAGAAAGCTAGTTTACATGTGTCATAGGAGATGGCTCCCTCTATGCCACACCTTTAGAAGAAAGAAGAAAATTTTCAATGGTAAGAGAGAACTTGGGTCTGCTCCTGAGAATTTGTCTGGATATCAGGTACACAATATGGTGAAGGACATTACTAATGAGTTTGTGAAGAAAAGAAATCGTAGCAATGAGTACAAGAAGGGTATGTGGAAGAAAAAGATCTATATTTTGGCGGCTACCTTATTGGGAAGTTATTGAGGTCCGTTATATTTTGGCGGCTACCTTATTGGGAAGTTATTGAGGTCCGTCATTGCATTGATCTAATAGATTTTTTGGCAACCACTTTCTGCATTGATGCAATCCATCAGATCACACACATTCATAGTTCATACTGCATTCATAGTTCACACACATTCATCCATCATATCATACTGCATCACACACACATTTTTTGTTGTTCTTAAGTAAAAACCAACGGTTGATCACTTGCAGAGTCAGAACAAGGTGAAAAAATAGAAAGGGGATGGATGGATTGCAATCACGTACGTAGTTAACGCACATGTCGTCTCTTCCACTACCGCTACTGCCGCCATGGTCCCTTAGCCAACCGCCGATCGGCCGCCGTCCCCTCTCTTGGCCACCGCCGCCAACCCACCCCGACCGGATCTGCAAGGCACCGGTGGGAGCCCGACGGAGAGGGAGAGAAAGAGGTCGCCCGTGGGGAGATCGCCCGCCGCCTCCCTTGGCCACCGTTGCCGCCGACAACCCACCACCCAAACTACCCCCTCCCCAGATTTGTCCGCCTCCGGTGAGGCCGACGGAGAGGGAGAGGAAGAGGGGCGCTGGATCTGTGCCTCCCCGTCACCCGTGGGGAGGCCGCCGGTCGCCTGCGTTGCTGCTCGCTAGAGGGAAACGGCCGGCCGGCTGGGAGATGGGGCGGAGGGGGAGGGAAATGGCCGGTCGACTGGGAGAGGGGCACGGAGGACCGGGGGAGGGAAGCGGAGGCTGGGAGAGGGGGAGGGGGCGGCGACTAGACAGGGAGAGAGGAGGCGCCTGGCTGGATAGAGATCGATCCTTATCTTCTCGCGTGGTCTTATGTCCTCGCGTGGGCCCCGCCAGATCCACCGGTTCGTTTTGTTGCTAGCTCGGCTCGATTATTAGGTGTCTGTTGGTATTTCTTACGACCACAGATAAATCCACAAGCGCACGGAATACCGCTTTAGCACTTCACCTTCGGGTGACCCCAAAAGGATATCGAACTCAGGGAACGTGTGTAATCTACCTAAGGCTAAGACGATCCAAGGACAACAACTATATGTAGGCTAGGTAGGCTAGAGAGGACTTTCTATGTGTTTTAATTATCTAATCTAAGTAAATGCAATTTCCTATCTGTTGCTTCCGGCACTGACCCCTGCTGGTCTGCTAGCGTGGTTCCGGCTATAGCTCTATGATGTATCCGAATGTGGAGGATTACTAGGACGGGATTCAAGGCTGTCACCACCTGCCCCCTACCTCTGACAAATCCGTGGGATACACAACAAACAAAGGTAATCTCTAACCTAGACACCACGCCTAAGTTATTAATTACTACTCTAATACTTGAGCGCGAACTTCCTTCTTTATCCGGAGTCCTTATACTGGAGCACTTAATATGAATACTAAACAATGAACCCGCAAAGGTGGAAATCTATCTTACTTAGACAAAGTAATTAAATAACATAAGAAAAGATCATGAATGCTTACTTTATAGAAGAAGTTCTCCGAACCCGGAGCAGAGTGTACCGACAGCTCCGGTACTCCTCCAAAGCTCCTCCTAGTAAGCTACACTCGTCGAGTAAGAAGTCGGAGAGAGTGCCAAACTTCCGGGCACTCCTCCAGAGCTTCTCCTCACTCTCTACCTATTTCTAATGTACAAGAGATACAATAGAGCCTCTGGTAATTCAGCTCAAAGTTGTGTGTTGAAATGAGAGTGGACTCTTCCTTATATAGGCTCCAAATGACGTTTAGGGGCATGGGAAATGACCAAAACACCCTGCAATCGCCATAGGGGAGAAATCCAAGCCGTCCACATGAAGCCAGATAGCGGGAAGAGCCAGGATTGGTTCGGCCGAATCCAAAAACCGTCCTCCTGGCCTCTCCTTTGGCCGGTAGGTTGCTTAATGGGCCCCCAACATTTTGCACAACGTTTTGGCCCAATTCTAAGTAGTTTTGGTTGACATATGGGCCCTCCAATCCGTGTAAACACGTCTTGAATGCGCGGAGGTGCATTTTATCGCATGATGGATGTGTTTTCTCCTCAAAATACCCGTAAACACATATTTCACCAACACTAGTGGAATGATTAGTAATAAACCCTACCACTAACTTGGATACTATATTTTATTTCATTATATACATGTATTGATGGTCAAATATTATGATTTAAGTACCGTCAACAGTGTCGGTTTTTAAAGAAAACCGGTACCTATAATATATATATATTATAGGTGTCGGTTCTTTTTAAAAAACCGGTACTAATAGTATTGGTTTTGTTTTTTTCTTAGAACCGACATCTATAGTTGTTTAAAGTTGCTGGTTCTTTATTTTTTAAACCATGGGAGGTGGGAAAAGGTTAATAGGTGTCGGTTTTAAATAAACCGGCACCTATAAGGTTCCTACGAGGGTTTTTTAGTAGTGATATATATCATATATACAATCTCTTTTGGCACATCAAAGACGTGAGAGGCTGAAAGACAGGCTCATATACCGCGACGAGTTGAGAATAATTTGGATATATACCGCCAGACCGAAAATGCGTTTACATGGTTATGTGGCTATGTAGGGTTGGGAAACATCAAGAGTTCTCTTGTCACTAGATCTATTTTCTAGTAAAGCATTACAAATTTCGGTCAGTACTCAATATAAGCGCAGGGAACCTAGCGAGGCATCACGATTAGCTACCGCGCGTGCCAAATCCGGCTGGAGCTGCAGACATCGTCTATCTGGGAGCTCACTCTTGCTGCATCTCACGAACTAGATACCGGTCTAGGGCGAGTGTCCGGCAATCTCCATGCACCTGTTGCATTATGTGATTGGCAGTACCGCCAACTAGCTCCATTGTGGACTTGTGTCTCCGATCTTGCTTCCATCTGTGTTCTCCGACAACTGCATATGTTTCCTTGATAGTTCACCAACTAATATGATTTCCCTTTTCTCAATATCTAATTATATATATGAGCGATAAAAAATATTGTTGTAAAAAAATATATTTTTAACTACTTACAGGCTGTTGATAAAAAATAAACTATACTCTGGAAAAAAAAATCAAAGTCAACTTTTATATTTGGTTGTGGCTTTTTAGATAGTGGAAATGGTTTATGTTTTAGCCTCTACCAATGGGCACACAATGACACAACCAAAAAGTTTTAGAAGTAAAAAATAAGAATAAACGAATAAGATGATGGGACAAACCCATTAACTCCCGCTAATTAATAGATCAACGAAATTATGAACGTACTACATCATCTAAACTAGAATATAATATCTTTGGCTACCATTTCTATATGTGTAGCACCATTACGCAATGTATCGTGCACCAATAGTGTAGCCAATTAGAAGACTGTTGCGTGAGATTCTGTCAACCTGTTGAAATATGTTGGTTAACTGATCAGTGTACACGCACATGCTACCTAGCTCTCCACATGCAAACGTCATTTGGGTTATAAAAGAGGAGTAGCTTTGAGCTGTAAGAGAGAGTCATCCATGACGAGTTAGTTCACAACATCACATGGAAGTGTTAGTAGCTCCAGCTAGACTTGTCAGTTGTCGCTTGCCCATGGTAGCTAGGCCTGGGACCCTAGGAAGCACCATGAGCTTTCCTGATATACATGGACGCTCAGATCAAGTTTGCACTAGAGCATTGAGGAGAACAGAATACCCAGCATCATACTCTTACATATCTTCAATAGGATAAACATGAACGGGAATTCTCCATTGGATAAAGTGGAGGTGATGTATAATCACGAGGTCCAACGATAGTGCATCATTGAGCTGATGATGGACAAGGTGGACGAAAAGTCTAACGGGCGATCGATCGCCCCCAGCGATGACCCCTCCTTCTCCACGTGGTTTTTTTTTCACCACATTACTTTTATTTTTTTAAATAAATTTATGTACCTAAAATTTGTACACCTCAAGTTTACACATCTAAAGTTTATACACCTAAAGTTTAGAGACCCAAAGTTTATAAGTCAAAAGTTTATATATCCGATTCAAATTTGAATTTGAATTCAAATATTTTTTATATATAGTTATTTCTATACATCTAAAGTTTATAGACCCAATGTTTATAAGTCAAAAGTTTATATACTCGATTCTAATTTGAATTTGAATTCAAATATTTTTTATATATAGTATTTCTATACACCTAAAGTTTAGAGACACAAAGTTTATAAGTCAAGAGTTTATATATCCGATTCAAATTTGAATTTGAATTGAAATATTTTTTATATATAGTATTTTCTATACATCTAAAATTTATAGACCTAAAGTTTATAAGTCAAAAGCTTATATACCCGACTCAAATTTGAATTTGAATTCAAATATATTTTTATATATAGTATTTATATACATAAATTTTTCTAACTTAATTTATTTATTTTTTTTAAATTTATGGTGTAGTAGAAAAAGAAGAAGGGGAGGAGGAAGGGGGAGAGGAGCGTGTTAGGGGGGGAGGATGGGGAGTAGGCGATCACCCACACATTAGCCACACCCCAAGTGGATGTTCAGTACTAATATGGACATGACTCGTATTGATGAACTGAAGCTTCGGCTCTGTCTTGGTACATGATCGAGTATAAATGTGAACCTAGCATCTCGCTCTTACTGATGCTCATTTGTTTTGGGTTACAAGATCTGTAATTAATATACATGCGTATTTTCGTTCCGGTCTGATCAGCGTAGCCCTGCATGCACACAAAGGCCTCATCATTCACTTTCCGATTCCCATACGCACAAAAAGCCCTCATTATTCACACGCTAGCTGGTCCCTATGTATATGCACATAAAGGCCTCATTTAGCTTATACAAGAGGCAGCAAGAGAGCTCTGAGCTGAGAAGAGAAGAGATGAGTGTTAGTTCACAACTTCACGTTGAAGTGATACTAGCTCCAGTGCCTTACTCTTGTCAGCTGTCGCTTGCCCATGGTAGCAGACTTAGGAGGCGCCGGGAGCTTTCCTTCTATATGTGGACTCTGAGATAGTGGATCAAGTTACCTACAGAGCATAGAGGGCTACAGAAGACCAGCATGCCACTCTTGCATATCTTCAGTAAAATAAACATGCACGGGAATGCTCTATAGTATAATCATAAGAACCAAGGATTAGACGTAGTTGAGCTGACGATGGATAAGGTGATATGCTCAGTAATGATGGACATGACTCATGTTGATGATCTGAAGCTTAATTAGGCGCTCTCTTGGTATATGGGCGAGAATAAACGGTTCATTTGTTGTGAGCACAAGAATGCTAATGCCAACGTGGATATCTAGTTTTCAATTGCTAATTCCAGAGTTTGTTGAACCTGGATGTATTTCAAAACTGAAGAAACGGACTATCGATCCCTGTTGTATATTTTACGTCTTACTCTTAGGTGATTCATACAAAACAGGTTCAGATCAGGCTTGTCAGTTGTCGCTTGCCCATGGTAGCTAGGCCACCGAGCTTTCCTGATATACATGGACGCTGAGACAGCAGATCAAGTTTGCACTAGAGCATTGAGGGGAACAGAATACCAGCATCATACTCTTACATATCTTCAATAAGATAAACATGTACGGGAATTCTCCATTGGATAAAGTGAGGTGATGTATAATCACGAGGTCCAACGATAGTGCATCATTGAGCTGATGATGGAGTAATATGGACATGACTCGTATTGATGAACTGAAGCTTCGGCTCTCTCTTGGTACTGCACGAGTATAAAATCATTACTGGAGAATACCTCTTCTCTCCCGATTTGCAACCCCATTTAATCCCGGGTAACAAACCGAGAGGAGTAATCTGAGACTAAAGATCGTCATTTGTAGTCCCGATTTAAATACCCGGGAATAAAGAAATATCTCTATTTCTGGTTGGTAACACCAACCAGAACTAAAGATAGTGCTATCTTTAGTCCCGATTGGTGTTATCAACCTGGAGTAGAGATATATTTTTTTTATTTGCTTCTAGATCATTGTTTTTAGCTGTTTGCACTTGTTTTTAGCCGAACTCATCCACGATTCATCTCCTAACATCCTAAATCATCTACAATCCCAAATCATACAAAAAAAACATTATCCACTATCCCAAATCATTCACAACAACAAAATCATCATCCACAATCTCAAATCGTCCAAACAATATATATAGTCCACAAAAAATCATCCACCAGTTAAAGAGGGAAAAAAAGGGAAAAAAGAAAACATCGGCCGCCGCGCCCCTCCGTGCAGGCCACCGCGCCTCCCCGAGCGCCGCCGCCCCTCCGCGTCAGCCGCCGCGCCCCTCCGAGCGCCGCCGCGCCTCTCTGCGTCCGCTCGCTCGCCCTTTGCTGCGTGAGAGATAGAAGGCTCGCTCGCCTCTGCCGCCTGAGAGGATAGACGTAGATAGAATAGAGAGATGAAAGGGAGAGGATAAAAAAAGAGAGAAGGATAAGCGAAGAGGTGGTTGCTAGAGGATAAGTACTAGGGACTATATACTATGCGCCGATTTTTAGTCCTGGTTGGCATTACCAACCGGGAATAAAAAGAGTAGGGGGTGGACACTTTCTTAACGGGACTAAAAACCAACTGAGACTAAAGATCATAAAATGGTTATGGGCTTCCCAATAGAGGCTAAAGATGATTTTTAGTCCTAATTGGTGTTACCAACCGAGACTAAATATCATAAAATGGTTGTGGGCTTCTTAACCGGGGCTAAAGATGATTTTTAGTCCCCGGTTATTTTTGGAACAGGACTATTGTGGTTTTCGGTCGATCCAGTATGTTTTGGGTACAAGATTTCTAATACATGCCAAATTTCGTTCCAGTCTGATCGACGTAGCAGTGCATGCGCACAAAGGCATCATCATTCACTTTCTGACTCCCATACGCACAAAAAGTCCTCATTATTCAGTCGCTGGTCCCTATATATATATGCACATAAAGGCCTCATTTAGCTTATAAAAGAGGCAGCAAGAGAGCTCTGAGCTGAGAAGAGAAGAGATGAGCGTTAGTTCACAACTTCACGTTGAATAATGGTAGCAGGCTTAGGAGGCGCCGGGAGCTTTCCTTCTATATGTGGACTCTGAGATGGTGGATCAAGTTACCTACGGAGCATTGAGGGGTACAGAAGACCAGCATGCCACTCTTGCATATCTTCAGTAGAATAAACATGCACGGGAATTCTCTGTAGTATATATAATCATGAGAACCAAGGATTAGACGTAGTTGAGCTGATGATGGATAAGGTGATATGCTCAGTAATGATGGACATGACTCATGTTGATGATCTGAAGCTTAATTAGGCGCTCTCTTGTATATGGGCGAGAATAAACGGTTCATTTGTTATGAGTACAAGAATGCTAATGCCAACGTGGATATTTAGTTCTCAATTCCTAATTCCAGAGTTTGTTAAACCTGGATATATTTCAAAACAGAAGAAACGGACTATCCCTGCTGTACATCTTACCTCTTAGTCTAGGTGATTTATACAAAGAGAACTTTGACGGTACAAAGGTCCCTTGATTTCGCCTGGTGAGAGGTTGGGATAGTTATAAGTATTAAGGTATTGCATTGTGGAGTTTTTCCCTCATCTTGTGCAGATCTATATACTCTTTGAGGTAAGTCGATTGTAATAGTAAAATCCCCAATTTTATCCCTAAGGCCCTGTTCGGTTAGGCTGGGAAAGGTCAGCAAAAAAATATCATTTACTCATGACGTAATTTCCCCTCATCCGGACCAGGAAAAAATATCATTTACTCATGACGTGTGGAAAAAAAACCCTGTGATGGAAATGAGCTCTCGGGAAAACAGGAGGCGATGCAGCAGTGGCTGTGTAGCATGGCATGGTGCTGGAGGTGACGGCGACACAATGCTCTCCCCTGCGAGGCGGCTATCACCTTCGGTGGCCACCTTCTCACTCGTAAGAAATCTTCATCCTCTCTCCTGTGCCCATTGCCTAAGGGTTAAGGCTTCTTGATGCAATTAAATCCCCAGTCGCGGGTGGCAGCGGCGGCCCATGGCGAGCCCCAAACGGACGAGGTAGTGAGCGGAAATGATAAGGAGGTAGAGGCTGCAATGTATTGGTGGAGTGGAAGGATTGAGCTGCAGTTCTTGGTGTTGTTTTTCTTGGTTTTCTTGTGTTCTTGGTCTGAAATTTGAAGTTTGAAATTCCGGTATTTAGCATATACAGTAGTGTCACAGTTGCATGTTTTCTAGATTGTATGAGCCTATCGTCGTACTCCTCAAAACAAAAGTAGCATAGTTGTGACTTGTGTGTCGGATGGGTGCTACTGAGTATCAGCAATACATGAACTGAAGTAACCAATAAATCTAAAAAAACCATAAAACACAGTGTTACAAGATCGGTCCCAAAATCACCATCGTAAATCAAATGCTGAAAAAACACCATAAAAGAGCCATACACGATATTAATCACACCGAGGGACGATATTTTGTAAATACTAAACTATAACCGACTACATACACATATTCGACACAAACTCTAATATACAACCAAAGATTTACTGCTAGTACAATTTTATTGGCCTCATAGCGTAAGCTGTGTTTATAACTGCAACACAGCAAAAGTACACTATTACTTTCTTTCTACCTGCATTCAGTATACACGCTATGCTTCTTGTGTTCTTGCTCTGAATTCTCATTTCTGAACTTCCAGTATTAGCACAGTAGGTCGCATGTTTCTTCAGACCAGGCAAAATAGAAAGGACAAAGAAACAAAGCTTCCAGATCAATGTAAGGTAGTACAAATGCACTAATTCTACTGAAATTAGGTTATAGTTGCTACTTTATAAGTACCAACAACAATGCAATGATACAGTAATATCGGTCAATGGAAGTGCATGAAGGCCCTAATCTATCCATACCTATATTAATTGGACACATTTTAGAAGCTCTCACGTTAATCAGAATTATCTAACCGTTGATTAGGTAGATCATAAATTATGACTGTAGATTAAATATTATATCAGTGGATTTTTAACGCCCAACAACGTATCTAGCCGGGCTTCGATAGATCGTGCCCGTGTCGTCGTATCGATCTCCGCTGCCGCGTTCAACTCCGCTGGCGATGACATCACGACACGGCACTATACATCGATCTCCCTGACTCTGCACCACCCGAGGGTTTTTGTCAACAAGTGCGCACTATGTCCACTCACTTCATCGTTTTAAAGCAAGATTCGAATTTTTACAGCTTTCTCATCTAAAATTAATCTCAGCTATTGTGATCTTGACAGCGTAATTTTAAGGGAGTTTGTAAGGTATATTTGTTTTCTATTAAATTCGGTCTATGGATATATATCCGTAGGTATACACAACTGAAACTATAAGAGCTGTTAGACTACAAGCCTCGAAACGAATGGGAAAAAAAAAGGAACGCCGGATGACAAGTAAATGCAGATCGGCATGAATTTGATAACTAGGAGAGAACACTTCCTCAAGTTCTACTCCTCTTAAGTCCCTCATCTGATGATGCACATCTTCCTCTGAATATCCCTGACGCTGGTAGCAGTCTTATAGAGTTGTCGGTGTTGAGTAGGGGTAGTAACAGGGCTGGTGAGGGATGGGTTGGGCCAGAATGCCCTCTTCCCTGACACTCGACTTCCTCACCTGTCCCCGGCCCCATCTCCAACTCGGGCTCAATGTTGCTCTAGCCCTGGCCACTGTGAGTCCCCACCCCCAACCGGGGTTGGAACTGTCGGTGAAGACAACACAAGAACTGAGAAGATAAGGCAATCCACCAAAAGCTGCCATGTCGGAGGAACACTGAGCCATTGTTAGGATTGAGGGAGATGAGATCGAAATCAGCCGCTGGCTAGGAGGCAAGTTGGAACATAAGGGACTAGGCAGACTGTTGAGAGGAGTTGACGGACAAAATCCAAGGGCAGGGCTCACCGGTGGCAAACTGGGAGGTGCTTCCTGTGGCAAGAAGAGGCCAAGCGAGAAGCAGTAATTCTCACCAGCGGCGCAATGTGCGAGCGGCGGTGTTGGAAGTGTCAGGGGCAATATCAGAGGGCAGCATTGGGACTCAGGAATCACGAGTAGCGTGTGACGGCGCATGCGGGTGGCGAACGATGTGGGACTGAGTCAAAGATATCTAAGGTTACTTGATGTATATGTGCTCCAGTGAATTTGTCTTGGTGAGCAAAATTTGTAATAGGCTATTAACTTTTTTCATTAATTCTGTATTTTCGGGACCTCTTGGGTCACCCACAGGTGAAACTGCAAACCCACCCCAAGCCCTGCTCAAGATGCAGGTCATGCCCCGACTGCCCCATAGGTGGACATTTAGACCCGGTCCCGGGCCCAGACCTGTTGGAGTGGGTCCCCACCGCCAACGGGGAAATCAGAACACCTTGTGTTGTGTGTTCCTCCACTCCAGAAGATACTGCCAATATCAGTACACATCCAAGTCTGTGTGCTATCGATTCAACCTCCTTGTCAGGGTTGCTATCACCAGTGATCATCTGTGTTGTGTCACATCCTGATTTTTGTTTCAGGGTTTATAAATTATTTAATAAATTAATAATAGAATTTATATTAAATGATCTTTAATTTACAAGTGAAGTTAAATGTGGGAAATAAAATTTCCTAAATATAAAGCATGGATGGATTTAATTTTTATTAAATTCTCCATGGTTAATTATACTCTCTGAAATTTTCTCGGATTTTTCAGAGCTCAATTCTTAAATAATACAAAGAACAGTTCAGTAATTATTTGATCATTAATGATCTAATTATTTTTGTTAAGTGCTTTTCTTGTTTAAAAAAAAATCCTTAAATTATAAATTGTTGTTTAAAAGGAATTATTAGAAATGATTTTAAAAGCTTAAAAGAGAAGATCTAATTTTAATTTGTTAAATCTCAATATAAAATTGGGCTAGATAAAATTTTGTTAAATACTTTGCTTAATTCTATAATTCCTAGATTTTTCTGGGATTTATTTGAGCTAAGGAAGTATTTTTAATAAATAGAATTGCATTTAAGAAATAATTTAAATTGAAAAAGGTTTTTAAAAGTCTTCTTTTGGCTTTGGGCCGAAAGTCGGCCCAAAACCGCTCTCTCTCTCTCCCCGGCCCAGTCGGCCCAGTCCGCCGTGCCGCCCTTCCTTCTCTCTCTCGGCCGCTGACAGGCGGGACCCACCTGTCAGGTCGTTGTCTTCCTCGCGCCGCCGCTGCCGCCCGAAACCCTAGCGCAAGCCGCCGCCGTCTCCTTCCAAATTCGGCCTCATCTTTCCTTCTCCGGCCGAATCTTTTGAGGGGAAATAATCCTCTTGATCTCCTCTTCCTTTTCTCCTTTGGAAACATCGGCTAAATCGGCTTGGAAAGTGTTTGATTCGAGGTCGAATCGGATCGGCTTTTCTCTCTCCGAGCCCGATCTTTCCTTCTCGTCGCCGGCCGCTGTGGGCCTTCGCCGCCGCCTCCTTGCCCCTTTATAAGGACCCCCGAGCTCTCCTCTACCCGCCGCCTCTCTCGCCTTCGCCCGCCGTCGTGTGTAGCGCCCTAGCCTCGTGAGCTTTTGCACCGCCGTCGCCGCCGTTCGTCCAGCCGTGCGCCGCCGTCGCTACGGTCGTCGTCGTCACTCGGGAAGGCCACCGTCGGGATCGCCAAGTCGCTGCTGTCCCCGTCCACCGTTTCGCCGCCGCCGAAGACCGCCGGAGCGCCGTTGCCGCCGTCGACCCAATCTCCGCCGTCGCTTCTTCCTCGTCGCCGGCACCGTCCGTTGCTCTTCCGCCGTGGTTTTGGTCACCGGTGAGTTCGCTGCGTCGTCCTCTATCTGTTGGTGCCTTCCGTTCGTGCCGAAGCGCCGCCGTTCGCCGGCGAGCGTGCGCCGTCCGAGCCGCCGAGCCGCCGCCGCCGGAGGTGACGTCGTCGCTGACGTCATCGTCGCCCTCTCCCGTGAGCCGGTCGTGGACCGATCGATCTCGGCCGTCCGTTTTGGATAGGGTTGATCTCGGCCGTTTGTTTCCGTGAACCGCTGCCGTGCACCCGGTCCACCGCAAACCCTAGCCGCTGACGCAATAATCCTTCTTTTCCTTTTCAAAAATAATTCATTATTGCGTCATAATTTAATTAAAATCAATTTAAAGGTTTTAATCCGATTTAATCTTTAAAAATTCATAACTAATTCATTTGAACTCAGTTTAATGTGGTTCAAGTTGCAAAAGTTGTGTAAAATAAAGATCTACATACTAAAATTGTCCATAAATTGAATTAAATTTATTTAATTCTTTTTAAATGGGCTTTAAATAGATTTAATCTTGTAAAATTCATAATAAATTCATTTGAAGTCAGAATGAGGCCGTTCAAGTCTCATAATTCATCTAAAAATATGATCTACATGTTTGTTTACTTTTTATGTATTGTTTATTTGGTTTTTATTAGTCTTTTCTTTGTTTTGCTTGTTAGCTTGTCGTTTCCGTCGTTGTGAAGGTTCGCGAGTGCGCCGGAAGTATTCAAGAAGATTAATTGAAGACCGATTATTGCAAGGCAAGTCACACAGATCCTAAACACAATCCTTTGAGCATGTTGTTCCTATATTTAAATTCTCTATTTATTTCAACTGTGCATTTATTTTCGAATGTCACCGGGTGGTGTGAACTTATTCTTTTGTTATGGCCAATTTGCATTGATTATTCTATTCCTTGATACCTTGGGTTATTATAATTGGACTAGTTGAGCTTTATATATATTGGTTCAACTAGATATTAGATATAATTGCTTAGCCATGCTTAGAAACATTAGCACACTATTGGGATAATTTATGACTCATTATTATTTAATAATGGCTTAATGATAGTTCACGATGGCCAATCGTGATTGGTTAATTAATTACTTGCCAACTAAAACTTGATAATGGTGGGTTGTGAGCACATGGTTTTGAGAGTCGTGCTCATGACAATTAAGGACCGGTTCGCGAGCTACTATTGTGAAACATTAACCGTGCCAACCACAAGCCAGCGTGGGCAACGGCTTTACCTTTTGTATAGCATGATTCATTGCGGAGCACCAGACTGAGAAGTGGCGGAGATAAGCCCACGGGGGTCGCTGGGGAGTCCATGCCTCTGGTTTTTGAGGGGGTGATTATGATCCAGGAATGGTGCGCTGCGGTGGGTTGTGTTATGCAAGGGGTAATGTCACAGCTCCTTTCCGAGGTACCGTGGTGGTACTGAGGCACATGGTGACATGATGTGGAGCTGTGTCTTGTGGGTACAGTGGTACACCTCTGGCCAGAGTAAAACTATTCGAATAGCCGTGCCCACGGTTATGGGCGAGTTGAGCAATGTT